TCACTTGTCCTCCTTCATTTAATTGTTCTTAATCCTTCTTGGAACCCCCGCCCCTCCACCATTTCCGGAACTCTCTCCCAGGCATTTTCTTTGATTCTCTCTCTCCAACCTCCTAACAGCTCCCAAGACTGGGAACTATTAGCGCTGGTCCTTGTTAGGGGTCTCAGGGCCCTTTAGGAAGTGGCATTCATCCGTTTCTTGAATAATTAAAAAGTGCATCCATTGACCGGCCCTCGAGCATGACTCCCTCTCAGCTATCAGCTTCCCCCGCAAGGGCTCTGGGGCCCAGGCTCAGGGGCACCCAACCAGCAGGACCAGACGCTGGCTGACCCACACTCCTCTGTCCATCTTCGATCCACAAACACCTAAAGCCTCTCTCACCCAAGGGGGCCCCAGGAGTCTAGCCAGGACACCCCAACACTTACTTTCCCCAAATCAAGTCTACAGGGGGCAGCAAGGGACAGACTCAAAGACAACGGCATAATGAGGCTCCTTGGTCCAGGGCAATCGGCAGAAGCCCCTGCCCCCACCCCGTGGGCCCCCAGCCCTGCGCCTACCTTGGCCCGCTGCATCCTGGGCACAGAAGGAAACTGTGGCCGGCCTCACCTCCTTGCAGCCCAGGAGGTCCGGACTGCCAGGCAGGGCTGGCCACCACCTCATGTTTGCTTGGACTGGCGGCTCTTCGCCCGCCCCCTGCCCACCCCTCCCCGCCTGCCTGTGTACCCGCTCCACCCCTTCTGCTCTGCCTCCTCTCTCCCTCTCTCCCCTCCCTCTCTCTCCCTCTCACCACTTCCCTCCCAGGCGGTTAGCTCTCTGTGTCAATCACCCCCAATCCTGCCCTCTCAGCCTGTTGAAGTCCCGCCCCCATTTGGCTCTCTGGGTCTCCCCTCTGCCCTGTCACGGGGTGTCTCCCTGTGCCACCCCGCTCCATCTCTTTCTCTAATACATATACTGTCTGCTCCCCCCTTGCTTATGGGGAGGGGTAGAGTGCGGTGGGGGCGGTCCAGAGAGCCCAGGCTTGAGGAGAGCTCTGCTGTGAGTTCTTGCCCCAGGAGGCAGGAGGGCAGGAGGGGGCAGCCGTCTTCTCCCTGCTCCCCACTCCAGCCCTGCAGAGCTATACTATACCGCAGACCTAGGGCTACGCATCCCCATCAAGACCCAGTGCCCCTCAGCCGCCCCTGGCATCCACAGCATTCTCCCTGTGGCAACATTATTCTGTGGTGCCTGTTTTACAATGGCCTCACAGATGGGGTCTCACTATGTAGAGATGGTGACAGCCACCAGGGCCATGTCACGTGGGTCACACATAGGGGTCCTTCCACTTCTTTCATCTATCCCCCTTAACTACCTCCTTTTTACCCCGTGTGGGGCCTTGTGGTGTGGGAGTCCTCCCTGCTAGCCTGTCTTTCCAGGGCCTGTCAGCTGTCCCTCCCTGGGTACCAGGTTGGGACCCCATTTGGGGGGCAGAGGGACCTCCCTAGAACTCTGAGGTTGGAGGAAAGGGGTCAGGGCCCCAGGGCATCCTTAGGAGGTGGGCAGACTCCTGGGTATTAGCTTAGCCCCCAAAGAAACTACCCTGGATCCACATACCCCAAACCTCCGCCAAGTTCTCTTTTGCTGTATCGAGTGCCAGCCTGCACTTGTGGTCCCCATGGAAACAGAGCCCTGTGACACCCTCCCCAACAGCAGGCACAAGGCGCTGGCACACCCCTTTTTTTTTTCAGCCAGTTTGCTCCAACTCTTGGATGGGCAGGGAAGAGAGTGGCCTGGAGCTGTTGCCCCCTTGGGTGTGAGGGGTGCGTCCAGAGAGGAGGTGGCCTAGGTGTCCGCCGGCCAGACTTCCAGGACAGGCGGGGCCCTCGGAAGAGGTGTAGGAAGCCCCTCCTGCAGCTATCATTGGAGGCTGAGTGGCTGGGAAGCCCAGGGGCCTTCCACCCAGAGGCCTGTGGCTCTGAGCAAGCTCCCACTGAGTCCTCATGGTGGCCCTGGGAGGAAAACGTCTCATCTCACCCAACGATGATGAAAGTGAGATCCAAGAAAGTTAAAGGACTTGCCCGGGGTCAGAAGCTAGAAAGTGACAAAGCCGGTTTCTTTCATTCCAAAGTGAGCAAGGGGCCGAAATCTCGCCCCACCTCCTAGGTGCTACACGCCAGCTTGGAAACTTACTATTAGGCCACCAGGACCAGGATGGCCTGGTCTCACCTCTGGCCTGGCTCAACGGGGTAGGACCAAAAAGCTCACCTTCAGACCAACACTGCCCTTTGCAGTCACCTGCCTGCTACTTGGCACATCCACTGAACTTCTGAGACTCAGAAATACTTTCTTCTTTGAGTTAAGGAGCCTCAAGCCATGACAGGACAGGCCCAGGACATCTGCCTCCCCCACCAGGTCCCCATGCCTTTGGCCTTGGAATCTGCCATTGCAGCTGCCACCAAAGGGTGCCCTGGGCAGGTGGGGATGTGGGGTGGTGGGCATGTGGAACCAGTGGGCTTTCTCCCCACATTGGCAGTTTCCACAGACTATCTGGCAATATCAGAGCCAAAAACGGTTACGGATGGAAGGCCGCAGATGTCCCACCTGGTCGGCATGAACACTTCAGCCTATCGGTCTTAGCTGTGGTTTTCTCACATTGATGAGGGAGTTTAGAGGGGGAAGGAAGGGTTGTTCAAGCCTGGAAGAAGGTTGAGCTTCCTTCCGCTCCATTTCCTTCGTGAGGAAGTAGCAGTGAACCATCTCAGCTGGCTGGGGCCCTTACTCTCCTTCCATCCTGGTGACAGCGCTCACAGCACCCCACCCGCAGATCTTGAGGTCTCTGGGCCTTCCCCCACTGCTGCTCACAGTCCTCTCAATCCAGGCCCAAGGTCAAACCCTCCTCCTTGGGTGCCCCAAAAACCGATCCATGGAACCCCAAGTCTGTATCCTTCTCCTGGGCCCTGGCTCTACCTGTCTCTGGCCAAGGTAGTGGGGGCGGGAGAAAGACAGAGACAGACAGAGATAGGGAGAGAGGGAGAGAGGTGCTCAGTAGCTTCAGGGTTTTGGCCCTTGCCCACCAAGGGCCATTAGCCGTGAACAAGGCCCCTCTGGGTGGAGGTGGGTCTCACCTGGCATATGGACCTCAAGAAATTCCTGTTGCCCCAAATCAGCCCTCCCTTGGACGCCTCAGCCCTTGGGTGTCACCACGAGCCAGTGACAGCTATGGAACTGGAAAGCCACCTGATGCAGCCTTATCTGCGCCTCCCATTGGCCCTCAAAATCTTTCCTGCTGCCGGCTTGCCTGCCCTCCCACAGCTGGACGGAAACCCAGCGGGCCTTCTGCTTGGGACGGGGACCCCAAAGTTCTTTATTATCTCACATCATATGGCAGTCTTGGCCCAGGTCCAGGCCTCTTTCTGTGCGGCCAGGTACCCAGCCAGCTCAGGTTGCTGTAGGAGCCTGTCCTGGAAGCCTGAAGTCAAAGAGGACATCCGTCCCTCCCCTTGGGCTTAGCTCGCCTCCCGAAAATCTCCTCCTCCAGCCTCCACACCTGACTCCTGGGTCCCCTCAGTGTGGTGGAGGTTCAGGCGTCTAAATTCTGCGTTCCTTGTGGCAGAGGTCAGGGCTAGGTGAGGTCGCCTCCTCCCCGACTCCCACCTTCTTCCCACCTGGTGCTATGGTGCTCAGGCTGTGTCTGTAAGATGGGTGAATGCTAACCTCTCCGGCAGGGGCACGCCCAGGCAGTGCGAGGAGGGACTGGGGGCCACAGGCAAGGGCTTCATCCCAGCAGCATGTGGCACATGGACCATGCTGGCCACCGGCCTCGGGGCTCAGCCCCTGGCACTTGGGACAGGGCACTGGGAGCTAAGCGCAGTGGGGAAGGACACTGGGATGGCGGAGGGCACTGTCCATGACCACCTGGGGCAGCCTCAGGCTGATCCCAGGGAATTCAGGTATTGCTTGAGATGCCCCTATTATCAGCTAGTTCTTATGGGGACATGTACTCAGCCCACAATCGGCCTCGATGCCTTATTTTTCTCAACCATAAACAGGTAAATTATGATGCCAGCCTCTTAGTTAATTCACATTAAATGCTTAACACTTTCTGGTTTATACTCACAGCTCTGTGAGTGTTAGTCTGTCCCCAGGTAGCCTGAGCAGGCCCCTAGTCACGTGACCCTTCCTTTGCACACCTGAGCCAGCCAGAACTACCCTGGCCAGCCACCTGAGACCTCTGGCCCACATGGCATTTCTTTGGCAGTCTGCCACTCATAGCTCATGGGGACTTTGATCTGGGGTGGCCAGGCTGGAGCATCTGGCAGAACTCCCAGAGCCTCCAATCTGTCATCCCTCCTGCCACAGGGACAACAAGGACATATAGCAAATCTCCTTGGAGACAGGGCCTCCCTCCCACACACTCACAGGGAAGGGGGACTGTCAGCATGCCTAGGAAGGAACCTCTAGGGCCACCAGGACCAGGGGCTCTGAATCCGAACCTGGGCTGGGCTTTGACCTTGAACCAGCCTCGTGGCTTCTCAGAGCTTTGTTTTTATAATGCGAGACAAGGATGGTCCCCATCCCTTTCAGGGAATTTGGGTAACAGATGACACGGTGGCCAAGGGGCTTTGTTTCACACTTAAAGCTGGATTCGCATTTTAGGATTCCAGTATTTTAAAATCAGGGAAATATGTAGTATATTTTTCTCTGTGGTTATTTCTATCTCTCTGTCACCTGCCAAGTGCTACCCCCACCCATTGCCAGGTAACCAGAGCTTACAGCCACACTCTCCAAACTAAGCTCTCTGGAAAAGTCAGTGTCCTACTGGCTGGACCAGGGTTTCAAAGAGCTCAAAGAGAGGCAGCCTTCTCCTACTTCACAGGGGAAGTCGGGTTAATTTTCAGGACTACACCTTCCGAGCATGGTGGACTAGGTCACCTGGCCTCGATCCCCAGCCGAGGGCAACTTAAAAGCTGCTCAAAAAATATTTATTTATTATTTATTTATTTAGTTTAAAGTCTGATTGGGGGTGTTGGGGAGCAAACAAGGCAGCGAGGACTCGCAGGGCCAAGACTGGGGAAAGGAAAGAACCCAGAGATGTGTGCCTGGCACCCGGGGCCACTTTCTCTCCATGGTCCCTGCCGGTCCCAGAAGATACTGCAAGCTGCTGAGCAGAGTTGTTCCCGGCCTCTGGGACTAAGGAGGTAAAAACTAGGCCCATCAAGAAGAGGAGGGGTGCTGGCAAGATTTTCATGTTTGGGGGAGGAATCCCAGAGAGCTTTGCCCCCAGAACACGAAAGGACTGGAAGCAGATCAGCCCTCCAAGGGACTGCAAACCATCTCGGGCCCAGAAAGGAGACAGAAGCTAGACCCCAAGCCCCCACCTGCCAGATGTAAACATAATGCTCATCGGGAAAAATAACTTCAATCTACACCTCAAATTATTTCTATAGGTGTTAGATATAATGTGTAGTGCTCAATCAAACACACTAAGTATGCGAGGAGACAGGATGAAATGGACGAAAACCAAGAGGAACAACAGACAGAAAAACTCTTGGGAGCTCTGTATCAGGGAGTTACTGAACTTTAAAATAACTGTGCCGAGTGTGCTGAGCTGTATCAAAGATAGACAATTTTGATAGAGAACTGGAAATGATTTTTTAATCATTTCTTTTTTGTTTTTTCATCCCATCAATTTCATTCTTAAAATGCAGGGCACTACAGCTTATCTGCACAGGGCAAACAGATGAGAAACGAGAAGAAATCTCGGAGAAAAGCCAAAAAGAGGGGATTGTAGTACATTCAGGGATGCTCGTGTGAGAGAGTGCTTGCAACAGGGACGCGACATCATGTACGTACCATCCTAATTCCTGGTAACAAATTTGTGGCTGGTTTGTAAGACGTAATTAAACAGACACTCCTGAACTCAGCAGACCACATCTTAAGGCTCCCTGGCACGGGGCCCCTCTCTCTTTTCCCTGTTTCTGCCCAGATCCAGCTCTGCCTCTGGCCCAATGCAGTCACAGCAAAAAGCAGCAGCATTTGAGCATGTGTTTTATGCCAGGCCCCTGCCATGAGCTTTCTAGGTATTGTTACATTTTTCACAGTCTTGTGAGGAGGCTATGACTCTTCTCCCCATTTTATAAATGGAGAAACTGAGGCCTAGGGGCCCCACATGACAAGTTCCAGGTGCCCACACTAACCAGCAGTAGAGGGGACACAGACCCAGGTCTGTCTGCTCCAGGAGCGGCCCCTCTTATCTGCTGGTTGCTGGGGAAACCCCTGATGCCTGTGGCCAGAGGCGGCCTCAGCCTCTCCCCCACAACAAATACCTGTCACTCACCTGCACACAGGACCCAGGGACAAAGCCTAGGAAGTGAGTGCTTTCATAGCTTGAGGGGTCTGTCCATCCCTTCTTGCTCCTCCTCCTTTCCCCTTTCTGGAATGCAGGGTCCAACGTGCAGAGAGGGCACAGGGGCGGAGCAGGGACAACCCAGGCCCCATGCACAGGAGAAGAGTCAGGGCCACAGTGCAAAATCCTGTTGTAGCCACCAGGTCCCTCCTGGGGAAGCTAGGTGGGGCTACGTTCTGGGGAACTGAGGGGAGGCCTAAGTCCCAGGTTCCTTCCCGGAAAGCCAGTACTCAGAGAGGATGAGGGGCAGCAGCGCTATTTCCAACCTAGGGTGCAGGCAGGGGGCTCAGCCTTCAGACAGGCTTGGAGGCCAGGAAATCTAGGCCAGGCAGTAATAGGCTCAGAGGCCATGAGGCAGTCAGCCAAGGCCCCGGCCCTGGTGGCCCCTTGACTGCTTTGTGGCTTTACCTGATTAGTTTGGTCAGGCAGGAGAGGTCCCTAGGGGCCAGCAAGGTAGTGGGATAAGGTAAAAGAAGGACAAAGAGGAAAGAGATTTCCTGGGGGGACAATGTAAGGCCTGGGGCAAGGACACAATGAAGCTGGGGCAAGTGGGGAGGGCAGATGAGAATAAGGGGCAAGGAGAGTGGGGGCACAGCAGGGGTAGGGGCAGGTGGTGACAGAGTGGGGACAGGGCCTCTGTCCCACCCGAGGGGCTGAGGGGGGTTCCAACAGGTGGAGAGCAGGGTCTTCCTGGTGCTGACATGTTAGAGCGAGGAGGAAAAGGGATGGACACCTGAAGCACCTGCTGGCTCGGCTCAGCGGCACTGCAGGGTGTTTTTGAGAATAAATGAAGGAGTTGTGAGCAGACAGGGTAGGAAGGGAACAGGCAAGATGGGGCAGGAAGTGGAAACTGGGGGACAGTCAAGGCCTGGAAAGCAGCCTGGGGGCAGGAGGGACAGAAGTCCTCTGGTCCAGGCCAGGTCAAAGGGGAAGGCGGCCAGCCCGGGCAGCACCTCTTGCCAGAAACCCTGTTTCAGATTCAGAAAGAGACAGGAGGGGGCGGAGAGGCAGAGCAGAGCTGTTGGTCTGCTGCTGATGGGCCAGACCTGACACCCAGACCCCATAAGTCTCAGAAGCTTTCTGCCCTCCTGGGCCCCAGAAACTCCAGATCCCAGCCCCATCCCTCCTCCCCCCAGACTCCCACCTCCTGACACCCAGAAATTAAAGGGGAGAACTCACCCTTGAGGGTCCTACAGCTTCAGGGAGGTGACCCGGGGAATGTGGAAGAGTTGAGTCTCTTCAGAGCTGCTGAAGCTGTGGTGTCATGGGGAGTGAGCAACCGTGGCACAGACCCTGGCCTGGAGCTACTATTTTCCCACCTCAGAAGCTTGCGGGGCGGGGTCCTGAGAAACTTTCCAGAGGTGGACATACTGCAGCAAGGATGCCTCAGCCTGCGTGCTCCTCCCCCCACTGGCACAACCCCTGGCCAGAGGCTCTCAGGAGAACCTAGGGCCAGCCTGGGGCCTAAAGACCTGCTTCCTACGCCTGCTGCCTCATGGTCCTGGCATTCCCCTCACCTGAGGCGTTTCCAGATGGGGTGGAAGTATTTGGAGGTCTTGACAGCAAAGACGACACTGGGGAGCAGGAAGAAGGTACACCATGCCAGGCAGAACCAGAAGGCGTTCTGGAGCAGGGGACGTGGGGTTAGCTCGCTGGGTCTGAGCAGCACTTTCTTCCTACCTGTTCTGCACCCCCATCCTCTCGCTGACTCAGTAAGGGGTGTGGGCAAGTGTTCTTAGAGCTTAGAGGAAGGGCTGGGGAGTGGGCCTGGGGGCAGGGGTCCTGCCCCACCACCCCTCATCCCATGCCCGACTCACGCACCCCTTTCATATGGGCCCTGATGAGCTGGGATGGGCTGGGGCACTCACCCAGGGATCAGCCATTACATCACACAGGATCACACGGCCATTGTCCAGGGCTCCTGAGAGGGGCTGGCAGGTGGCGATGCGCTGAGTCACCTGTGGCATCAACATGAGGTAGGTCCACCCAGGTGCACAGGGGCATACCCCATAGTCAGAGACAAAGGTTGACAGGGACACAGACAAGCTCAGGGACACAGCTGTACACAGACACATGGATGTAGGAACATAGAGACATGGGGACACCTGACACAGGCTCAGCTCCCACCCTTTCCATTCCAAGCACCAGGCGGTATTAAGCCCCTACTGTGTGCTGGCTGTGCTTTCAGCCACACATGTGTGTGCATGTACATACTTACACACACATGCACACACATACTCAGGGTTAAGCCGGCCTAGTGTGGTGTCCGGCCAGCTTGCAGAGGCTGGGGCCTGCAGGAGGCAGTAGGGTCAAGCTCTGGGTTGGCCTTGAACAGGCTGGGCAAGGGGCTAGAGCGAGGAAACGCATGGGGGCCGGGTGCAGACAGCAAGATCTGGAGCCACAGCCAGCCCCATGCACTCAGGCCTCAGAAAGAGGCTGCCTGGAGGGTGAGTGGGCAGAGCCCAGCCAGCGAGCAGGCATGGATGCTGGGTATGCGTTTCATTCTGAAGGCCTGGGGCACCCTGAGGGGGCCTGGGGTGAAGAGGCAGAGCAGGGCTAGTGCACTGGGGTAGGTGATGGCCAGGGGCTCTAAGGCCAGGAAAGTCTGTGCCCACTCACCTCCTCTTTCACCCAGGCCACGTACTGGGAGAAGTAGCCCAGCTCCCGGGTCAGGAAGCACTCACTTTCCTGCAGGAAAGAGGGAAGCCCTGGGCTGGTGAGAGTCCCAGGAACCAGCAACCCGCCCCACCAGGACAGGCTGAGCTGGCTTTCCTGGGGGCCCCGGTGAGGGGACAGGGCTGGAGGAAAGGCCTGGGGTGCCAGCACTGGGTGTCTTAGCCCCACGACCCACCTCCGGCTCTTGGTAATCCCCCCACCTCCCACTCACATTCCTTAGGATACGGGTGGCCCATGCAGGCAGCTGTCCTTTTAGGTGGGTGACCCTGTCCAGGACACCTGAGGTCTCCAGCTGGGGGAAAAGGGAGAGGCTCAACTCAGTGTTCTGCTCAGTCAGGGAGCAGCCACTCAGTCATCAGTCTAACGATAACACAGGACAGACTCAGCTTGGCCCTAAGGATGCAGAGGCCAAAGACAGAGGTGCTCAAGTTGCTGTCCACCGTCCCCCGACAATTCTTCCCACCCAACCCCACCCTGCAGTGGGACTAGGCAGAGTAGGCAAGGTCCCAAGCCAGCTGGACCTCTTCTTCCCCCTTCTATTGGCCACCTGCTCCCCCGAGCCTCCCATCCCCAGGAGCCACCTGGAGGTTTGGTGCTGAGGATGCCAGCGCCCTGACACTGATGTTGAGCTTGGCCTGGGGGGAGAAATGGGGTTGGTGAGTGGAAGGGAGTGTTCTGGGCCTGCCTCTTCTTATCTCCCACTCCTGCCTCCCCTACCCCCAGGCCGCAGGGCCCCTGGCCTCCAGACTCACCACTAGGTTCTGCTGGGGGAGGACCTTCTCCTGGTAGAGGTGTCTGAGCCCGTGGGCCTCCTCCTGCAGCTGCTTCTTCAGCACAGAACTGGCCTAAGGGGACATGGAGATGGAATGGCTTGTGCCTGGGATAGGACAGCCTTTGCTGGCATATCCTTTACTGAACTGTTCAACCAGACATGCTGAGGGATGGACAAGTGCCTGCTCAGAAGCAGAAAACTGAGGCCTCCTAGAGCTCTGGCTGATCTGAGTTTGGGGGGGCCCACGCCCAAGTGCTAGGACCACCACTGGTTTGCTAGGCACCCCCAAGTCAGCCATAGAACCTGTCTGAGCAGCAGTAGCATCTGCTGAAGTGGCGGGCTCCATAAAACTTCTGGAAAAAGACTTTTAAACTCTAAATATCCATAAATCCAAAATGCTATTTTTTCCAGTGGAGTTTAAGGTTCTGGAGCTCAGTGGTCACGGTACCTGATCCATCACGCTGTCCTCATGGCACCTGTCCCTGCGGGCCCCATGAGCAATCAACACTTGGAAACGCTTGTCCTGCTATGTGACGTCAGACCAGTCACTTTGTCCCATCCTTACAGATGAAGAAACTGAGGCCCAGAGGTGCTTGATGACTTGCCCAAAGCCACACAGCCAATCGGTGGCTGAGCCCGAGTTAGCCCTGCTGGGGGTCCCGGCCCTCACTGGCAGGGGCCCTCAATCCCTTGCCTTTACCCCCGCCCCCTCCCAGTGTACCTCTCCCACTGCCAGCTCTCTCCCTGACTTCTGTGTGCCCAGTGGGGTCTCTGCTTCCTTCTTACTTGGGCCTGAGCCAGTCCTTCCAGTTCACGGGCCAGCTTCTCCATGTTGGCTTTTACCACGGGCTCCTGGATCTGGAGGCAGATGGAGAGATGAGGGGTGAACCTCAGCTCCCCTCCCCCAAACTCCCAGCACTTTCAAGAATGCTGTACACCAGATAAGTCTGTTGGGACATATTGGCCACAATGGGTTTGACCTGAAGCGTGACATACATCAGACACTGCATTCAGATAGAAGGAAAAGATGGGGTATCCTCTGGTGAAGCCCAAGGAAGAGGTAACTTCCTGCCAGTATTTGGCCACAACAGTGGGTTCAGGACCATGAATAGTGACATACGCTGTGGGTGGGGGCTCATTCACTACCATCCTTTGAGGTTGGGGGGCGTACCAGGAAAGGCCTGGGGCACATGGTTGGGGAACACCACACAGGGATGTGTGGGGAAGTCGAGGGAAGACAGAACAAGGCCAGGGGCTGCCCCAGCTCCTCTGTGGTCCCCTCCGTTCACCATAGTCTGGCCTGAGGGCCCCGCTGACCTGGGCAAGGTAGCCAGGGTAGTGGATGCTCCCGAGTCCACTGCTCTGCAGGGCCTCCAAGTCTCGGCGGCCAGCGGGGCTCAGCAGGTCCAGATCCTCCACTCCCACTCTCAGCTTCTGCAGCTCCCGCTCTAGCTTGGCTGTGTACTGGGAGGGAGAGGACAGGGTGGGGGCATGCCCAGCCACTGAACCAGGACTCTGGAGCTGCTGCACTTGGTAAGCGGTCACCAGGCCTTCTGGGTATCCAGGGCCACCACTGAACACTCCCAGCCCCAGACAGATCCCCAGCAGGCCTCTGCTTCCCCCTCGTCCCCCTCTCCAATCCACCCCACCGAGACCCAGCCATCCTCCAGCACCTGTCTGGCTACTAGAGAGCAACCTAGACGCTCACCCGCCCACCTAGTATAAAGCAGGTCCCTGGCCCATCTTTATCGCATCGCCTGTGCCAAGGCCTTCAGAGCGCCTGTCACTGTGGCACAATTTATGTGTGCGCTTGTCTTTGTCATTAGCTCCGTGAGAGCAGCCCTGTGCCTGCCATTCTTAACCAAACCCTTGGTGTCCCGAGCAGAGGCTCACATAGGGTGGGCACAGGACAAGTGCGTTGTATGCAAAAATGAATGAACGAATGCATGAATGGACACAATCACATTTCCAAGACAGACCACAGTTTAAAAAGTGATGCTCAGCATTTTGCGACTATCACTGGAGGAAATTTAAAGGGCGTGGCATTTGGCTCCAGAGTTTAACGAACAAGAAGCAGCCGTAGAGGAGTAGTCGCCTGCCCAAGGTTTCACAGCCCCGCTCCTCCCCACCCAGCACTTGCCTTTCCCAGGGGGACAGAGGCCTTGTGTTCTCCGAGAGGCATCAGTAATGGACAGGGACGGAGATGTGTGAAGGCGGGCAGAGCTCTCCTGGTGCCTTGGGAAGCACACTTGTCACACTTACCTCTGCCTTATCAGTTCTTTATCATCTCCAGAGGACAGCTTAGTCTCCCTGAATCCAAAGCCCTATCTATCCAGACTCTTCTGTGAGCTGGACCTCTTCCCTCCCAGGACCAGGGCTGGGACCCCGCTCCACGAGAGCCATGACTCCCAGGCCCCTGGTGCAGCCCTCCCCGGACAGCCTTCACCCACGGCAGGGTCTGTGGCCTAGCACGTGCATGTCACCTGCTCTGTGGGCCTTCTCACATGGCTAGACGCTGGAAGAGGAGGCAGCTAAGGCATTGTGCAAACTGTTCTCAGTCATACAATTTAAGGCATGGAGTTGGGGCTGACATCTAGACTGCTTGGCCATGCTGCCCCATGGGATGAGAATGGGTGGTGGGTTTGAGAGGAGTGGAAGGGTTTCTGGGAAGGATGCGGAATCAGGAGCCAGTGTGCTCGGGGGCGTGCGTATAGGGGGCTGTCCCAGAATATGCTTGGGAAGGGCTCCCTGGGGCCTTGGGGGTCAAGGCACCCATCCCCCACCTGCCTTAGGCATGGAGAGGGGAGTGGAGGGAATGCACACCTTGGGGAGGAGGGAATGCACGACAAGTGTGTCCCCTCATGCACTAGCTCTGTCCTGGAACTGTCTCACCAGCATGGACTTATTTCTCCAGTTCTATATACCACATTCTGCCAAAGTTCAGCGGCTAAAGGACAAAATCCTGCCACCACCTACTGGCTGTGTGAGCTCAGCAAGAAGCCTGTGGGAGCCCTCTCCCAGTGGCACCCAACTTCGTCACCATCGTTTTCACTGTCACCCCATCCTGTCTGCAGCATCCCAACCAATGCCTGTCTGGGACACACACACACACTTGGTCTCTCACTTACTGTCACCAGCCTTTCCTGTTCCAGCCTTAACTATGTTCGGTTTTCTCAGGGCACAGTGCTCAGAGCTGGTCATAGCTTCCAGGCATGCACCCGTCTACCCGCGTACCCCAGAAACCTCCTGGCCCTGGGCCAGGCCCTGAGATACCTCAATTGCTCTGGCAGACTTCTCAGGTTCAAGGAAATGGTTCTGTCACAGAGCCAAGACCAGAGGAGGGGTTCTGCAGGAGGGGCCCCACGGCCTTCTGGAAGGCCACTTACCTGGCTCATATCCAGGTACGCCTCCAGGTCGTAGGAGTTATTGAGCTGCAGGACCCTCCAAAGCGCAGCCCCTTTCCTGCACTGCCTGGGAAGGAACATGGACATAGAGACAGAGAAGGAACAGCTGGTGGGTGCTGACATCACCCTGACAGGCCACACACCTCAGCTCCTCCTCGCACCGTCCCGAGCCCAGGCTTCCCACTCACTGATAAGCCAGGAAGATGCTGGCGTTCTTCAGGCCGAGCAGGTGGGACAAGTTCATGGATGGCGGCAAGTTTCCTGGGGTGTCAGCAAACTGGGGAGGGTCAGGGAGACAGGCCTGGAGTGGGGAGGGCTGGAGCCATCCCAGCCCCAGGGCCGTGCCCCATGTCACCCTAGCTGAGCAGAGACCATGCCCCTGTGACTCCAGCTCAAACCTGCCTGGGTCCTCACTCTCTACAGGGACGTTCCCGTGAATCTCGGGGAGCGGGCAGCCTGGTCTCAGCAGAGAGTCTGGGCTCACCTTTTGGAAACCAAGATCCCCAGTTTTCAGACTCGGGGTTAGGAGAACAAGGGCTCAGGTCTGGGTGCAGCCTCTGGGGTTCCCTGCCCTGGGACTGGGCATTGCCCTAGGGGCTCATGGGCTCTCTTTCTTGCGCCTCACCCACTGATGGTCTTCTGGCTTCCCTGGGCTGCCTCCATCATTCCCCTGCCCCTCTCTCCCTCTTGACCCTCCAGCCCCCACTTCCTTCTAAGTCCCTTGCTCTGCTCGCAACCCCTCCAGCCCTTGCGGTCCCGGCGGGGCAGGCTCACCTCGTAGAGCTCCCCGCTCTCCCAGCTCCGGCACAGCAGTGTCTGCACGTTGCCTCCCACCAGGAAGGTGGAGAAGACCAGTAGGATGAGAGGCGCAGCGACCAGGAAGCTGAGACACACCCCGCTGGGGAGGCAGAGGAGCAAGGTGAGGTGGGAGAGACCCCTGTCCCCATCCACACTCTGGCCAGTATGGTCAGGGGGCAGAGCCCCTTGGGATGAGAAACTTGGAGGACTCCAGCACTGGGCCAGGAGTCAAAACCGCTAACTGTCCCCACCTCATCCACCCTCACCCCACCCTGTTACCAGAGCCCTGGAAGCCTAGAGAAGAAGGTGGGCAGCTGCTTTGCTCAGGGCCACATGGCATGGCCAGCTATGACCTGCCAGCAGGAGCGGCAACTCAGAGGGTCTGAGTAGGACCATGTGGCTAGTCTGTGGCTTCTCCGGGAGGCAACATGGCCCTGTGCCAGGGTTGAGACTTGAGAGTAAGACATGGGCTGGGTTTCAGTCCCTACTCGCCCCTTTCGCCAGGGGCCAGACACAGTAACTGGCCTGCACAGGGATGTGGCAGCCCCGGCCTCAGAGACCTCTGGTCCCAGGGTGGCAAGTGGATTCCACCTCTGGAGCCACCTCCTATTGGAGGTATTGCATGGACGCTGGGTCAGGGAGGGTTCTGAGGCTCCATCCGGGCTCAGTGGGGCATGCTGGATGATCACTGCGGCCAGCTTCTCTGTTCTCGTTCCTACCCTTTTACACAGATGAGGACACTGAGGCCCAGATGGCTCAGCAATCTGCCCAGGGACACCCACCAGGTCAGTGCCAGGGCCAGGAGTTGAGCTCCATCTCCCTTGATGCCCAGGACTTGCCCCTGTGGCAGCTCAAGGAGCTGTCCGTGGGCTGAGAGAACCTGCCAGCCCGGTAGAAGAGCCTGCCCTTCTCCGCAGCCCTTCTTACATCATGAGGATGCGGGCTCCGGCTCTGCCTTTAGCTTCCGAGGGGCTGGGATCCTCCCGGGCAGACAGCCCCCAGGTGCCCAGGCTGAGGCCTACCAGGTTACAGACCACCACAAGCAGGACCACGGAGCAGAGCATGCAGCCCACAATCCACCTGCCACAGAGAAGTTGCGGATGTCACGGGGAAGGGGTTGGCTGGCATAGGACCTAGTGGCTGGGTGGGGCACTAACCCCAAGACTGGATGGGGCTTTAGAAGTGTAGGTACAGACACTTCCTGAGCCCCCCCTGCTCCTATGGGCCCCAGGCTCAGATCTCAAAGATGGATAGCCAAGGTGGGGACACAGGGGCCCAAGGAGTAAGGGATCTTGGCTTAAAGGAGGCTGAGGCTTAGTACAACCAGAGGCTGATGGGGGCTGGAATTGGCCAGGGCAGCTGAAAGCCTGGGTTGCCTACCTGACCCCCACCCCCATGGGCCAAGCACCTGTATTTCTCGTATCTCTGCACCTCCTTCAGGTAGGGGCGGCTACTGTTTTCCACTTTTTTCAGTGCCTGGCTCCAGCGAGAGTCTGCCTCCCAGTCTGGGAACGCTTTGGCCAGTGTCTTCAGCCCTCTAGGCTGCTGGGCCACTGCCTTCTTCAGCTCTGCCCAAAGCAGCAGGGGTTTATGGGCTGAGGAAGGCCCCAGGGGCCCAGGGAGAAGGATGGACAGGAGGACCAGCTAGGACCCACAGAGAGCACCCGCTCTCCATCTAGGCCCAGGCAAGAGGACAGCCTTCACCGTCCCCATAGCCCCTCTCTGTGCTCAACAAGCCTCCTGGTGGGGTGGGGAGGGGGTGCTGGGCTGAGTGGGCCGTTACCTTTGACCACGTCCGCCATCTGCAAGGGAGCCAGGAGCGGGAGAGCATTGAAAGTGTTGTTCTCCTGCCAGAACAAAGGCAGCTGTGCCTCCTGCTCTCCACCTGGGTGTCCCAGCTTGGGGACCCCAACGTCACCAGGCCGACAGGGAGGGCACCCCGCTTAGTGCTCCCAGCTCAGGAAGTCAGCAAACAGCCGGCTCCCCTTTGCTCTCTTAGTTGCCGGCTTCTTTTCCCCTCTCTGGGCCCAGCTTGATGAAACTCCTCGAAAACCTGGCCAAGACTATTGCAGTAGACTCCCAGCTATCCTCCCACCTCTCCCAGTCATCCTGCAAAGGACTGCCAAGTCTGTTTCCCTAAAGTCCAGTTCCAACCTCCTCTTGCAGCCTCAGTTCACTTCCTTCCTCCTGGAATCTTCTGCTCCAGCGACCTAGCACAGCTGACTCACCGTTTCCTCAACTGGGGCATTTTCCAGGCCCTGGGTTACTAGTGCTGATGGACACAGGCTGCTCCCTCCCTATCCTAGCTCCCCCACCCATGAGGGTCCTAGCTCTTGCTTCTGCCTCCCCTACCAGACTGTGTGTACTTGAGAACTGGCACCTTGATATTCCAACCCAGATGCAGTGTCAGAGGTGAGGCCCTGATTTGACCCACATTGGGTTTAACTTGGGAGAGAAGACAGGTGGACCAAGGCAGGCGCTCACCTCCTGGACCATGTTGGAGAAGCTGGCCTCCGGGACACCCTCCAGCCGGTGCAGGACATCATCCACATGGGGCACCTGGAAGTTGGGGGCAGAGTAATGACAAAGGCCTGAGAGGGATTCCCGAGGGAAGATGGGGTCAGAAACCGCTGAACACTCAGTGTGCAAAATGGGAACCAGCACAGCCTTCCCGCCCTGGCAGGTTATTGCTCATGGCACAGTGCATGCCCTGGGAAAGTGGGTATCTCTCTGCCAGAAAGACCCTCATTAGCCCTGGGTGTGTGAAGAGGGGTGGGGTCTGCCCTGGGAAACACCAGCTGCCTGGGACCCCTGAAGCAACAGGCAGGGCAGCCCCCTCGCTCTAAGGGCCTGGGTCCGGCCTGCACCTGGCTGAAGTCAGCTCCCAGCTCCAGGCCATGTGCCTGGCTCAGGGTCTCTGTGCAGCCCTGGCAGCCCGGCTCCTGCAGTAGGTCACGGAGTCGCTCGCGGTGCACCTGGACAGCCTGCTCCAGGTCCCGCTGCCCCTCCCGCAGCTCCACCAGGGTGGTGTTCAGGGCTCGGAGGTGGTCCACGGAGGCCTGCAGGGCTGAGACATCCGCCACCTCTGAGCAGTCTCCACTGCCTCCGGCACCCTCAGAGGCTTTGGGAGGCAGAACGTCTCCCCTACCCCATCCACAGGGACTTGCCCCCATGAACCTCTGTAGTTATGATGGAAACGGCCCCAGGGCACCCCTAGAATCAAGGTAGGGCTGGGACTTGCTGAGGTAGCACAAAAGGTCCAAGGCTGAGTGAGGGTGGAACCTGCCCCCGAGAGATACCACCCAGATGGTCCCACTCACCCTGGCCCAGGCTGCCCAGTGAAGCCAATGTCTCGTACACAGTGCTCTTGAGCTGGGCGTGGATCGTGCTCGCAATGCTGGTGGCAACACCTGGAGGGCACAGGGCAGTCTGCAGTCAAGAACTCTCCCCACCTGTCCAGCCTGCCTCCCCAGGTCAAGCACAGGGCTCTGCAGGGTAGGCACTGGCTCCTGGGTCCCACAGCAGAGCCACCCCTGGGCTGCCCAGCTGGGCCCAATCCCCACCCCTGGGAGCCCAGAATGAGGGATGGGTGGACTCCTCAAGGCAGGCCTGGGCAGAGGCCCCTGGGGTGGCCCACCAGCCAGTCAGCTGCCATCCTCACCATCCAGGTCCTCCAGGACACGCTTCTGGGGGACAGAGAACTGTTGTGCCACCGCCTGCAGCTCCTGGGCATGGACAGAGAGGGCCCGCTCTTC